TCCCCCACACCGTATACGAGGATAGATAACATGTGCACATCTGTTTGGAAAGAATTTATAAACAATTAATATATACAAATTGATAAAAATGAGTCATGAATAAGGAATAGTACTTATGTAAGTATGTTGGTTGATTTTGATGGCTGACTTTAGGAGGTTGGTTGGTTTCGACCGCACATGTGGGATTAGTGGTGGATTTTGAGTAGGGGTGTCCAAAAGTCTCGAATCGAATCGAGTGATTTTTCATAAATTAAATATTCGAACGGGTACCCAAATCGAGAACTGATGGATTTTGGTCGGGTCTCGAGTCTACAACAAGAACCGAATAACCGAATAATAACCAAAATTAAATAATTTTTTTTATTTTTTATCTTGAATTAATTAAATTATTTTTTTTTCTAAACAAACTAGCAAATTAATTATATAGTATTGCTGTAATATTAATATCTATTTTTTTTATATTTGTACACATTGAATTAATTTTATTGGACGACTAGTTATTTATATGTTTTTGAATTGAGGTACATCAATTTGTAGAAGTTACGAATGAAATGTCATTAGTTGTAAAATATGTAGTGTTGTTGTAAATATTAAAAAAAATAATTATGGTATAGAACCGAAAGGAATCGAACTCGAACGATTCCATAATTATATTTGGACCCAACGGTTCCATTTATTAAATACCTGAAAGTTTTGGGTCGGTTCGATTCTCTTCAGAATCGAATCGAACCGAACCGACCCACTGACAACCCTAATTTTGAGGGTGGCTATTGTTTTGGATTTTCGAGTGACTGTGAAATTGAGGTGACATATAATTAATTTTTTATTTTCTTATTTTATTTATTTGTTAGCTTGATCGAATATAAAGGCAAACAAGTTTTTTCCTATCAACTTAATTGAGCTTTTGATGGATTCTATCTATAGGGACAACGACCACCAGTAAATGTAAGGTTGAGGATATACATGTCAAGAAAAAAAATTAGAGATAGAAGTGCAAAAGACCCAAATGTTAGGGATGTCTGCTACAATTTTCTCTTTAAGATATTAATTTTCAAGCTATATAGAATCTTTAGTGGAATCAAGCTGTCTAGTTCTGATGTTACCCTAGCTGTTTCAATCTCTCTCTAAAGAGGCCAACAATATATAGCCCATGTTTGACAAATATTTTTTTAAAATACATTCTTCTAAAACTCATTTTCATGTTGTGTTTGAACTATATTATTTT